GGCGTAGAGGCCAATTCAAGCACGCGCGAGTTAGTGTAGTCGTGAAGCAGGCGAGCCCATAGAACTCGTTTGGCCTGCTCTTTCCTTCCTCAAAGAGACTTTGTTTTGGGCTTTATCGACGGTTTCCTTCGCTTCTTTGGTTGCTACATCGATTCTCAGCGGTGCGATTTCACCTATATGTACCTTACACCTCAGTTGGCAGAAACCCTATTTCCAAGTCTTTCATTTCAGGTTGCTCTCAAGCTTGTCGGTGAGGACGGCTATGTCATCACTGAACGGATTTCGGATTGCGACAATTGTATGAAAGTTCTTCAACATTAAGTGCAGGTAAGTTGTCGAAAATTCAATTTTTGAGAGCTTTCAGCAATTGATGGGCATTGCCGTACAACTTGATTTCAGATACTCTGGGCTGCAGCCATCAGCGGTGGTCTTGGTGGCTACCGTTCGAGCCTTGAAAATGCACGGCGGTGGTCCACCGGTGGTAGCCGGCAGCATCCGCTAAAGCACGAATATCTAGACGAGAACCTCGGGCTTGTTGAGAAAGGCTGTGATTCTAATCTGAGAAAACAGGCAAGATCAATGAGAAGTCTCTCAGCTCGTCACGAAGCTCAGGAAATTCATTCAGATTGAGAATGCCAACAAGTTTGGTGTACCAGTCGTGCTTTGCGTAACAAATTCGCGACTGACACAGATCGTGAGCTCGAAACGGTTATAGAAAAGGTGAAATCCAATCTAATGTATTGTATTATTATTTGTGACGACCTGCGTAATGCTCTGTTAGGCACTCTTGTACGGAGCCAAACGAGCTGTATCATCGAGCCACTGGTCGCAAGGCGGAGAAGGTGCCATTCAGCTAGCACGAGCAATCGTCGATGTCACATCGATGCTCCCCTCAATCAAGTAAGCAGCAGTCTTCATTGAGCCTCTGAAAGCTCTCGTCGAGATCGAATCGTGTGGCATTTTTTCGAAATCAGCGCATAATTGCGATGGAATAACGTGTGATGGAGGATAAAAAAGCAAAGCGCTCTGAAACTTTCGCTTGGAGATCTGCGCTCGGGACTACATCTCATATTTCGCCCATTTCGAGCCATCGTGAATGTTCTGCAAGGTTTGTTAATGGACAAACTGCGAACTTCGAAGTGTTTTGAATAGGGGTCACTGTTTGGTTTCAGACACAACAAGCGACAGCTACACCACAATCTCAGGGCTGTTGGCATGATGGTTCAAGCAAGTATATCGGATAGTGTTGGTCCACAAAGGCGTTGTAATGGCACTGAATTCGGAGGCACAGCCCATGACACTCGAATAAGGGTAGTGAGGAGCAAAGAGGAAGTTTGAAGAGGAGATTCCTTATCAACTTCATAAAAACCTTAGTACTCACTTTATCTGCAAGAATACTGCTTTGTCCATGGGCAATGTTGGCAAATGGTCCGGCATGCACGAACACAGGGGTCCCTTCGAGCGTTTGCATCAGATTTGGACGCACAGTGTCTCTCATGAGCACCTGTGAAAGTTAAGTAGGGTTTCCGCTACTCCATACAAGTATAACGTGAGCTTTTACCGTCAGGGCATCTGTAACGCCCAGGTCATCCGCTGTGACTGCCTTCCCATTTATGTCGGAGCCAATCACAATTCTACATATCCGTTCTCGCATATCTTCAAGGGATGTGGTGAGCGCCAGGATCGCCATTATCTGAAATCAGTAGGTACCTGAAAGGACAGTGCATCAGAATAAGGAGAACTCATCGCAATCGATTTATGAAAGGATGCTCTAAAATAAACGAAAATAGGCGCTATCGCAAGATACCTATGCCTTATGGTGGTGCACTCAAAATCGCGTAAGACATCTCCTTTTTGGTAAAAACGGAATGAAACCTTCGGCAAGGGAGGAGAGATTCAAGGATGCGTGAGCAATCACATTTACCTCGAAGTTCCTGCCTTCTCTCAGGCTTAGTCCTAGAGGATGCCTTTGTATGTTGCGATAGTCTTGAAAGTATTTCTGATTACATAATGTCTCACACATCCTTCCTTACCTCGCTCGCGACGGTGATATCGAATTGGGTTCTTCTCGAGTGGCCTTTCTCACCTGGTCCTAGTCCTATTTCAATTCCTGAAACAACATACTGTTTAACCCATTCGTGACAATTGCAGCCATCGGTGGCT